TGTACCCCAGCTCTACTACTTTTTAGCCTTTTCACGACCATTACTTCTTAACTGATCTCAACCCTGTTTTTTGAGCATTGACTCAAAAATCCTCCATGCTGAAAGGCACCAGCATCAACAATCAACCAGGATGGCTGCACAAAGGAAATGGGTTTGCCATCCTTCAGGGGCTCATCTAACTCATCTTAGGATCACTCAAATCCCAATGGACAGTTCGCTGTCTCCAAGGACTGAGATAGAAATGCAAATTCTCTCCCTCCTGTCTTAGATCTTCAGTACTACTTTTCAAAATAAATATTAAGTTTTTTGGTAATCTATTCAGAAATTTTTGTTTGTACACTTACACATACATGTATACATTTCCTTATTAAAAGCACAAATTGGAGCACTGCATACTATGTTTATCCTTATAGAAACTTGATCATCTTAAGATGAACACATTCAGAGGTAACTTATTATTTGAACAGTGTTGTAGTGTTCCACTGATAGGCAAACTATAACTTAGGTAGTCACTCACTTACTGATGGATATTTAGCTTGCTATAAAAAACAGTAAAATAGTGAGGTCTTTAGATGTACAGATGTGTATATCTGCATGTATACTTATGGATGGATTCCTACTCGCTAATTGCTGAGACACAGGTATGTGCCCTTATAATTTGGATGGGCCTGGTGAAATTGCCCTCTACTGGGGTTGGATGAACTATATACTCTTCCTGGTAGGGTGTTGTGACACCTGCTTCTTAACTGCCTTGACAACATCATATATCAGAAGCATTTTTAATCTTTGCTGATCTAGTGGAGAAATCTCACTTTTGCTTTAATTGGCATTTTCCTAAGTGAGGTCTAACATGTTTTTACGTATTTATTTGCCATTTATTTCTCTCTTTCTGTAAGTGCCTATTCAGAATCATTGCTCATTTTTCTTTTGGGTTATTAATCATTCTTGTATTCATAAAAGATTTCATGTGTTAAGAAAACGTACCTTTCTTGGTCAAAAGCGTTACAGATATTTTTCCCCAGTTTGTCATTTACCTCTGAGTTGGCATACAGTATTTTGAGCTATATAGAATTTTTCACTTTTTATGTATGTAATGTACATCAATTTTTCCTTTATGGTTTTAAGATTTTGCATGTTATTTGAAAAAGAGTTCATCTTACCAAGACAAATTTTTAATGCTCCTTTTTTCAAATTTCTTTAGTTTGTTTTTCTTTTCTTTCTTTCTTTTTTTTTTAATATTTAACCTGTCCTGTATGTTGTATATGGAATGAAGGACCCAGGTTTTCCTTTTTCCCTCCTAGTGACTAGCCAGTTGTCCCAATTCTATTTATTGAATAATTCAGCTTTCTCATTGCTTTGAAGTGGCATCTGGTTGTTTTGGATTTGTACTTGTGTCTCAGGATTGTCCTGTGTAGCTCCCAGTTATGAAAAGAAATCACTTTCTGTATAGTAGTCAATTCTGAGGATGTTCTAACATGGTTGTCACAAGAGGCTCCCTCCCTATGCTGCCATCTTAAAAGCAATCAGTGTACAGAGGCTCGGTGTAAGCCATCAACAGGACAAATATCCCAAATGCTAAAGAGTAGGCATCCCAAACTCTCACTGCAGAAATGAGATCATTGTTCAGGAATGTTAGGATAGATAATAGTAATGACATCAATTGAAAACAAGAAGACATTGTCACCCCAGCACACACAAAGCTAGACTCCTAAAATGAACCCTAAAACAGTCCTTATTTGATTCTGTACCCTCAGTGGCTCCCAAATCCTGGTCTGTAAAGACTTCTGGATAGGTCCTATACCTATGCCTAATAGCCAGAGGAAGGTTCCAGAATCTCAGCACTTGAAGCAAGCATGCAAAGGAGTCAAAGGTAAACCCATCCTCAAAAACGAAGGCACTAGTGGTAAACCAGAAGGGTTTCTACCTGAATCCCAAATATAATTAAGAGGATAATTATATTTAAGAAGAAGGGTGACTATCAATGAAGAGGAAAGGAAAGTTCAAATCACAGCCAAAGCCTCTGTTTGATGGTGGCAATTTACACATTGATGCCAAAAGCTTTCATCTGACACCAAAAAACACAACAGTCCACATGCTCACTGTGTAGACTATGACCTGCTCACTAGGCAAAAAGCAAAGACGAATGCTGCAGTGCTCAAAAGAAAAGTGGGAAAGGAATTTGTGTCCAGATGTGGGGAAAACGGGAATATTCTAGAGACCGAAGATATGTTAGTTACATGTCTGGGGGCTTCAAGGAACCTCCAAACTCCAGAGATTACCCAAATGTAGTCGCAACCAATATAATCAGGCTAAACTTTTTGGTTCTGACTCTTGTCTTTCAGAGAGAGACAACTGAGTCAGAGATGAAAACCTCACTGCAGCAAAGAGGCAGATATGTCAGTCACTGACCGGTCCCCAAGGGGTTGGACAAAGACCAGTGGGTTGAATTTATAGGGCAACAGTAGGCACCTCAAGATAGGGAGGCTCCTCTGTTTCTTCATTAGGAAGGAGGGAGTGCTCCATCACTAAAAGTGACCAGGCAGGACTGGTGGAGTGGCTCAAGTGGTAGAGCACCTCCCTAGCAAGTGTGAGGCCCTGAGTTCAAAACCCAGGACCACAAAAATAAATAAATAAAAACATAGGGCTGGGATGTAGCTCAGTGGTACAGCACTTGCCTAGCATCTGCAAGGCCCTGGGTTCGATCCCAGCACCAAAAAAGAAAAGACCAAAAAAAAAAAAAGTAACCAGGTATTCACTGGGGACCCTTTGCCAGGAATTCTGCAGAGGATTCTCAGGAATCAACAGTATGTCTGTGGTTCACATCCATGATCCTAACTATGTGAGAGGCTGAGATTAGGAGGATCGTGGTTCAAGGTCAGCCCAGACAAATAGTTCACAAGACCACCACATCTTCAAAATAACCAGAGCACAATGGATTGGAGGTGTGGCTCAAGCAGTGCACCTGTTTTGCAAGCATGAAGCCCTGAGTTCAAATTCCAGTCCTACCAAAAAAAGTGTATCTGAACTTTCTAGCCTTAAGAAATTTCTCTGCCCCTAGATTCTGTAAAAAAAAAAAAAAAAAGGTGTTCAATCTCAGTTGTGATTATTTTTCTTGCTTTGTACCTTAAAAACTATCATTATAACTCCTTTGCACTTGAATTTTTTGAGTATTGTATAGGCACTGTGTTCAGCTTTTAACTGCATCATCTCTACGAAGAAGTTCTTATCATTTCTCATCCTATGGAAAAGGAGCTGAAGTCTAAGGAAGACATAGAATCTCTGGGCTCAGTCACACAGACAGCAAATGGCAGAGCTGGGATTCGAGCCCTGTCCTTCTGGAGGCAGAGCTACTGAGCTCAACTTACTTTTCACCTCTTCTTGTAATATAACAAACTTATGAAGCTTGTAGCAGTTTGCTTGTTGAGGACATTGTCTACTTGTACAAAAGAAAAGAGGATTTCATTCTTTAAGTTTGTATTTGTTTGCTTATTTGTTCTAAAGAATATTAAGTAAGAATCAGACTCAGAAAGAGAAAATGAGCTTGAAATGGTGTCGTGAGACCCTCAGCCAGAAAGAAATCACAGGAGAGAACATGTGAACAGAGGAGCGACAACCTAACCTTTAGACTGTTGGTCACAGCAGGTATGGGCTCACTGTTCATTAATTCCTTTTTTAAATTTAACACGTTTGTGAACTGAAAACTATGCGCGAGTGCAATGAAAGATATGCCAAGGGTAATTCAAATAAAGTGCAGGATCTTTCAGAGAGGTTGGTGCTCCCCGTTCTCACTTTTCTTTCCTTTTTTTTGAGGTACCAGGGTTTGAAGTCAGGGCCTCACTCTTGCTAGGCAGGTGCTCTATCACTTGAACCCCTCTGCCAACCCCCTAGTTTTCTTACCAAGCTAAAAGAAGCATGTTTTTCTTTTTCTTCTAAAACTACAGCTTACTGATTCTTGGGAAGGTTAAAACAACAGTGCTGTCTGTCTAATTGCCATGCTAATAATCCATATAAATACAAGCTTATTTGGTTTTGGTGCCAACTGCATGTTTTATCATTGAAAGAAATTTCTAGACTACATAGAGGTACAGGAATTTTTCAGAAGGAAGGACCAGAGTTGCTAGAGGAAAGGGTGAGAGGATGGAAGAGGAAGAAGTAGTGAAATAAGGCTGGTTGAACAAGAACCAAGGGAAAGGGCAGAGTGAAGAGAGGTAAGAAGGGAGCCAAGGAGCACTGCTTTATAAAGTGCACAGCCAGGACTGACTCAGAGACACTGACCAGGGCCTTGGACCTCCAGCAGAGCTGCAGTTCAGCCCCACCCAAGGCCCCAGGGCTGCTTAAGTCAAGTGTCAGGCCTTTTCTAGAGAAGTTTGGGGCTAGTGGCTACTCAACCCATCCCAGACAAGTGCACCTGAAATCACATCTTTCACAGACCCCTTACAATATCATTAACAACAGAAATTTCAAAATAGAACTCATGCTCAGGGAAAAGGAGTAAGGTGCAGCATCTTATTGGTCTCCTTGTCCCAAAACACAGGGACATTTGGATGGCTCCCCAGCTGCACTCTAGAGATGAGAGCACATGTGGTCTTGGCACCTCAGGATACCGGGCTCCCCAAAGCACTTGCCATCTTCTAAATTCCTCCCAAACTCAGTCCTGCCTTCTGCTCACAATGGCTCATGAAGGATGACACTCTCTCTGGCTGCACCTCTCTGCGCAGGTGGTTCCACCCAGCTTCGAGGATTCCACTACCCATCTACCCCTTGGGCCCTACCGGGATAGAAAGGCTCATTTCTCTGTCACCCTCCTGGGCTGTTCTCTGCTGCAGAACTATCCCAATACATGTATCAGAGCCTTCCCTCCCCACCTCCCCCTATAATGCTCATCCACAAACAGTCCCCGCATATAGGTCCCCAAGTAGGCAGAATCAAGGCTGTAGTCCAAGGATCCAGGAGTGGAGGGCACAAAGCCCAAGAGGATGAAGAAAGGTCTGAGCACTCACCAAGTGCAGGGTGTCAGCCTTCTGTGTTTGCCTTTGTCGGCTCTTCTGGGCAGCAATGCGATTTTTCTCTCTTCTCTGAACTTTTCTCACATCATCAGATGAGTCCTGGGAAGCAGAGATGATGAGAATTAAGTGAGTCTGCCTGCACCTCTCCTCTGAGTTAAAACTGGCTCTTGTGGCATCCATCCATCCATCCATCCATCTACTCACCTTTCCATGTCTTTGTCTTTTCATGCACTTATTCCTCCCCCTACTTACCAAAAGCCTGTGGCCAAAGGAGTGTTCTACCCCAAAACCTGCTCTACATCCTCAGGACTCTCTATTCCTTTTTTGGCTAAAAGCTTCAGGAAGAAGGCAACAGACCCTGAGGCCCCAACAGGCAATAAGGCGTGTTTTATCACCTCTCCTCTCTTCAGGTCTGCGCCACCCTCACCCTCTCAGCTTTGGGTGTAGAACCTTCTTGCTGTTTTTTTCAAAACTTTTTTGAGCACCTACTAAACACTAACTTCTGTTCAAGTTCTCTCAGAGATGCTCTTGTTTAATTTCCCAATTCTGTGAAGTGGTATCATGCTTTCCATTTTATACAGGAAGAAACTGAGGCTCTCAGAGCTGGCCCATGAACTCACAGTAGGCCTGAGTGTGGCATCTTCTGGTGCTGAATCTGGAAGTCTTATCAAGACCCCCTCACCAGCAGCAAACTTGCTGTTTTGTACCCCCATGCGGTCTTCTGCTGCATCCTCAGGTAGAGGGCCCCATCCTAGATCTGTCTTTTCTTTTCCTGTATTTCCATGGTCAGCCCCAACCTTAGCTTCCTTCTCTTCCCTGTGGCCCTGAGCACAAATGAGATACCAAGAAGAACACCATTAATTCAGATGGAGACCACCCACTTTGGTGGGTCCTGTGAGAATAAGGAGACCTCGGAACATTCTCTAATGACACTCCAGAGAAAGGCATGTCCTTGATTGGCTGGCGAGGTTAGCGCCAGCTGGGCCCCAATGCTGCAGCTTAGTGAAGGTGCCTGAAAGAAACTCTTCTACAGCTCTGCCCTGTTGCCTCACACATCCCACAGACTAGAGGGGCGCAGATATCTGGGCAAGACTGGGCACCCTGGCTCCAATCCTTTCAGGTCATTGCAGTAGGGCATTGGGTTAGATAGGAAGCAAGTGCTCTTCCTCTAAGGGCACAAAGAGCCAGGTTACTGTGGAAGCCGTGAGTAATTTCCTTCCTAAGAAGAGTAAGGCACAGACTTCCAGGCAGTATGAGCCACTCTGATATCATCTTGACCAGATCGTTTGCCCTCTAGAGGCCTCCTTGGGGACTTCTTCCCTCCTGCTGGTCTGTTATGTGCTTATATAGATGCTGTATCAGATGTTCATATACTTTTATTTTGACTTTAGCATTTTACAGTCCCCCAAGTATGTGTGCTAAAGAAATAATGCAGTTTTTAAACCACAGGGGTAGAGATTTTAATCCATGGGTATATGTTCAGTGAAAAGGAAAGCTTCCTTCCTTTATTTATTTATTTACTTATTATTTAGAAGACCTTCCTTTAGCAAAAGATATCAAGAATGTGGTAAAGAGAGAGCCCCAGAAGCTAGCTAGGAGATGATAAGGTACCCCATATTCTGGCAACCCTCAAGCTGAGAGCTTTTGACTTTAAGTTAGTCTAGAATCTAAGGCTCCCTGAGTCCCTAACTCTATCTTCTGGTTCCCCAGAGCTGAGGTGAGCAATCGGAGATTGTCTCCAGGGACCAGAGTGACCTCCTCCTTTATCTCCTTCATCCTTCTGGAAGCCACAGGGAAAGGGGTGCTGCTGTGGCTCCAGCATCCCTCTCTCCCCGCTGGCTGTGCCAGGGACAGAGGCAGCATCTCGGCTCATAGATCCTCCCCTTCCAGCTAGCTTGCTTTTCTTTTCCTTTCTTTTCTTTGTCCTTCCCTTCCCTTCCCTTGCCCTTGCCCTCTTCTGTCTTGCCCTGTCAGCCCTTCCTGGAAAACTGCCTATCTAGGACTTAGGTCGTGCATGCCAGCACCTACTGCAGCCTTTCTCCGCCTAGGAGAACACTAGAGCCCTTCCTCTGAGGTCCTTGGTTTGCATCCTCCTCTGTGCTTCCTAGAAAGCTCTGTGGTTGGGACTCCAGTGAGGCAGGGGCGAGCGGCACCGCTGGGAAATGGAGGAAAGGGGGCTTTGGCAGAGTGGGTGGCAGGAGGAGACCGTCCGCGACTTGCACAGCTGAACTGCTGAAGTGCCCTGTCTCAAGTCTAACAGAGCACTCACGCCACAAGCCACTTCCTCCCTCCAAAGCTCCCTGGGCAGGACAAGGTAGCCTGTCTCCCTCCTGCCCCCCAGGAGAATCTGAAGGTAGGACAGAGGGAAAGGGACTCTACCTGCTTGCCAGGGGGAGGAGAGCGGCTGAAGCTGGAGTCACTGCTGTCCGAGCTGTGAGGCATGGCTGCGCTCTTCCGGCTTGTCCCACTCGGCCCCAGAAGCCTCTGAGCAATCTTGGCACCAGCTGGCCTCCCCTCCTGACTGCTCTGGGGCTTCCAGCCCTCCACCCTCCACAGGTGCCTTCCTTGCCCACCCTGCAGCCACCTCTGACCCCTGCGTCCTCCTCGCTCTGGGGTGCAGAGGGACTGCTCCCCAAAGGGACATCTCGCTCACTTTGGGGCTTGCGCGCGCTCTCTTGTGGTTTCTGGTAATTCATGCTGGAAGTCACATGGGCGGAAACTTCAGCAAGTTAGAAGGTAGTTTGAGAGAAAAATAGATATCTGGGAAAAGGTTGCAGAATTATGTGAAAAAAAAAAAAAAATACACAAAACCCCATGCCTCTTGGCCTGGAGTTCACACTCTCCCTAGAGGAGGGAAGATCCTTTAGGAGTTCAAGCTTGGCCCTGAATCCTCATGAGTCAAATTTGCTAGGTCAGAATCGGGCAGGAAGAAGGAGTCAGAAATAGTGACAGAAGCTCTGGATTTGGACTCTGACCAACTATGATCTGAATTTTGGCCCTGCCACTTAGTATTGTCTCTGACCTCGTGCAATCCGCTGGAGCTCTGTGACCCTTGCTATCTTCATCTGTAAATGGAAAATGATAAAATCTGCCCTACCAACCTCTCAGGACTGTGGCAAGGAACTAATGCCAACATAGATTACTGTGTCCCTAACACAGAGTAAAGCATGCTATGGAGATGGCTGTGACTTATGATGTTTCTAGCCTTGTTAAGTTGGCAGTTTTCAGTGAGTAACCTAATTCTCACCTGGGCATTTTGGCATTTTGGCTTTGGGCTAGGGGTGTAACTCAAGTGGTAGAGCAAGTACACAAGGTCCTGAGTTCAAATCCTACACCTGCTAAATCCCTTAGCTGAAATGTTTACATAGTTTCTGGTGATATTCTTTCATTAATTTATGTCTCTAAAAGTGTCATGGATGTGACACCTCATAAAAGAGAGCTTTGAACTATAGATAAATTGTAAAGAAAATTGCACTTTACATAATTAAAATATTTGTGCTCAATTGCTTAAAAAAGTACAATAAAAGGGTCTTGCCTTATTCCCAGTATGGCTCAAAACCAAAGGCTTGCCTTTCTTAGTCTTATAATTGACATAAAGCATTTTGTTATCCACTAATTGAATTTCTGCCTTAAGACAATTTAGGGCTGGTGGCATGGCTCAAGTGATAAGAGTGCCGTGGCAAATTGATCAAAACAAAATTCATTCTGTCCTGGAATTTTAATTTTAGTTGAGGAGGCCAGCAGCAAACAAAGAGGATGGTAGTATACAAAATACTGAAGGTGACAAGTACTATGAATAAAAACAAAGCAAGGCAGGGAGTTACGGAATGCCAGGGGCGGGTGGTGCTGTTTCTAGAAGCCTTGGTGAATGGGTTTCAGAGGCCTGAAGGAGGGAGGTGGTGAATGGTGAGGGTGTCTAAGGGAGGAACATTCCAGGCAAGGACATCAATAAGGATGTAAGTTGAATGTATATGTGTACCTCTAAGGAACAGCCAGGAAGCCAGTGTTGCTGGGTCAGAGAGGCAGTGAGAGTGATAGGATAGGGTCAGCCATGTAAGGGGTGACCAAGGTCATAGAGGGTCTTTGAGGCCACTAAAAAGATTTTAGCTTTTATGCTAAAAAAGATGAGAAACCAATGAAGGATCCACTATCCCATCTTCATTCTTATTCTCAGCTATTATGCGTTTTCTTTGTAGAACTGATCACAATTTGTAATTACTTTACTAGTGACTTTTTCTCTGAATTAGATGTGTAATCTGTTAGCTTCTGCTGCCTAACAAACCAAGAAAAATCCTGATGACTTAAAACATACAGGTTTTAGATCCTGAGTCTATAGGTCATGCAGAAGTTTCTGGAAGGTTGGGCAGGCAGACCTCAGCTGGATTCCTCAGATAGCTGCTATGCTGGCTGATGACTGCCTGGTCTAAAGGGCTTTTCCCTGGGATGAGTTCCCTCCAGTAGTCTGTTATCCCCCTCAGTCTTGCCTGGGTTTGTTTACATGACAAGTGCAGGGTTCTAGGACTAAGAGCAGAATGAAGCCTCCTGAGGCCCAAGCTCAGAAGTGGCACAACGTTCTATCTGCATTGTTCTCTTGGTCAAAGAGAAGGCCAACTTGGACTCAGTGGGTTGAGAAGGAGACGCTACCTCTTGTTGGGAGAAACTGAAAGAATGGTGGCCATGTCTGCCGCCCCCCACAGGTGGGCAACATTGGCATTTTGGAGCACAGGGGTGCCTTGTTATCTACCTCAGATTTTCATGGATCTCTCTGTTACTGTGGGAAGAAAAGTGGAAGTGGGAGATCAGTTAGGACCCAATATGGGATTACTGTGATAACTAAGCAAAAAATGCTGGCAGAATCCACAGAAATGGAGATTAAAGTGGTGAGAAGCGACTATGTACACACCAAAGGTTGGGTCTCTCTTGCTGTCAGTCATATGGTCAGTGCCTAGCTGGTGCCCAGTAAAGAAAGAGCTGCCAAGGGAATGTGTGTCTGAATGAATTCCCACCCACTGTGCTCATGATTTATGGCACTCAGGATATGTGGAGGTTCTTTTCAAGTCTTCTCTCAACCTAAGTATATTGAGAGCTCTTTATGAACACTAAGGATCATAATTGTATTTTATTCACTTTTAATTTATATATATTTATCATCTACTATGTAGCAGAAACCATACATGTGACTAAGACAGAGACCCTGCCTTCCTCAAAAGAAAGGAAAATAGTCAAATAACCAAACAGGTTACTCTTCAGAGTCACAATGGCAGATGAGCTTCTGAGCTCTGGCCACGCCATCATTCGAAGTTAATCTTGTTGAATGAATGGTTGCTTGATCCTGTGGTGCTCAATCAAGATGCTGGCTAAATACTCAACAAAGACTAAAAAGGAGGAAAGGCAAAAACGATTCCTTACACAGAAAGGTGGGTCTCAGTCAGGAGTACTAGTGACAAATTATTTCTAAATATTTAAGATTAGAAAGTAATAAGTACTGTATTTCCACCATTAAGCTTAAGAAATAAATTATGGTCCTATTCCGTCCCTTCCCCAAGTAACTCATTATCCAGAATGTGGTCTTTATCTTTCTTATGCATTTTTCCACATTTGAACCCCATATGCATAGAACCCCAAGAATAACGATAGGGCCTCATGTTAATGTCAGAGCCTGTCTGGACTGAGATCCCATAGTTGGGATGACAGGAATGTGTGACAATGCCCAGCTTTTTATTGGTTGAGATGGGATCGTGCTAAATTTTTTGCCTATGCTGGCCTCTAACCATGATCCTCCTGATCTCCACCTCCAGAGTAGCTAGGATTATAGACATGAGTCACTGCATCTGGCTCACGATTTTATTTGGTTTCCAACACACTGTCTGAATAGTACTAGCAAAGGTGGATACAGGCATCCCATGGAGATTATGGTGGCGATGTCCAGGCAAGTGCCAGTGTCAGCCCAGCGAACAGCAGCCTGGAGCCTGAGGATAATGCTAAGGTCCACTGCTGGCAGCACGAGGCTCTTATGCAGTCCTGGTGCAAATTAGAAAACAGTGCCAATCTAGGTGGGCAATTTTCTGCCAGTGTGCCAGCATGGTAAACCCCCACTCGACTGTCAGGTGGGAACCCTCGAACAGTGAACAACTGCACAACTATACCAGCATCCCTGCTATGTATTACATACCAGGAATAGAAGGGGAATTGACTCATTGCAGAAGTTGCAGAAGGTAAGTACTATTTTACAGATGTGCAATACCGAGGCACAAGGCGCTTAAGTAACTTTCTCAAGGTCCATTCAGCTACAGAGTGGTTGGAGCTAGGACACAAACCCAGGTAACTTAGCTCCAGAGTCTATGTTCCTAAGTATTGTGCTCTACTACCTTTTGTTTTGATCTTCCCAGGAAATCTACAGAATAGGTACTATAATTAGATTCTCCAATTGGTAGAAGAGACAAGTGAGGCACAGAGAGTGTGATAATTTGTCCAAGATCACACAGCTGTTTGTGGCAGAGCCGGGACTTGTACTGTAACAGTCTGACATACTCAAGGAGTGCTCAACAGCCGAGATGGAACCATGCTCTGTGTTATTAGAACACACCCAAACCCGCTGCATCTCCGGATCTCCTGCCATTAGATTGTTTTATTAGACCGGGAGCTCTTGTAACTGCAGTGATGTAATAAGTTGTGTGGAGTTTTGGTATAGTTAAGCTTGATACAAGCTTTATGAAGGTAAAAAAAGTTTAAAAGACCTCTCCAATTTGAACCAGTGAAGGGCAGGGGAGTGGCATATGGATTTAAATGCCTGAGTTGTCCCAAGTTTTTAAAAGAAGTAAAGTTGGTTAGTTTGAGAGAAAAGATCTCCTCACAGTTATAGCACTTCCAGAATGTGTCAGAGCCTCTGCATTTGTCATCCATTACACCAGGACAAATGACCCTACAACTCCGTACCTTTAAATCCAAACTCCTGTCATCTCACACAGAAATCTAGAATAACTTGGCTGGGTGGCTCTGACTCAGAGTTGGTCATGAGGGTGTAGTGAAGCTGCTGGCTGAGCTGTCATCATCCCAAGACTCCACTGGACTGGAAGATCCACTTCCAAGATGGCGCACAAGCATGCTGCTAGAAAGAGGCTTCAGTCCCTGGGCTGCCTGAATGTCCCCATGACATGGCAGCTGGCTTCCCCCAGTGTGAAGAGTATTGTGGTGGGGGTGGGGGAGAGGAGAGAGAGAAAAAGACAGAGAGTGAGAGAGAGAAAGAGAGAGATCACTTTGTATGTCCCTGTCCCCCATCCTTTCCTCTTGTTCTGTTTATTATAGGCCAGGCACCAGGTCCAGCCCACACTTGAGGAGAGGCCAAGGAGGTGCCACTTCTTGAAGGGTGGAATATTAACCATCTCTGAAAACCACTTCCAAGGGGACATTTAGCTGAGGTAAACAGTCTGATATGAGATCAAGAGGGAGTCAGGAGGTGGCACTCTGGTCCTAGCTTTGCCCCCAGCCTACTTTATGGCCTCTGTTTCTTCAGGTGTAAATTTGGTGAGAGGTAATGGTGGCATTTCCTATGGTGGAGAGCAACAGTCTCTGTAGTCAGTGAGTCTAGAGGCTCAGATCTCTACTTCCTACAGGACAAGTTATTTAACCTCTGTGTGCCTCAGTTTCCACAAAACTGAAGACTATACTGCCA